ATATATATATATATATATAAAGCATTGATATCATGCGAACATTTTTAGCACAAAGGCAAGGAGAGAGTAAAACAGCTCAACGATTGATTGATTGTTAGTAATTCGGAGTGCGTGAACGGCTAAGGTCATTAGTCCATTAAGTGTAGTGCATGTTTCCCTCAGGAAGTTGCGGTGATCTCCCACTGGATGGCGAGATATCGTCTGCTAGCGGGGTTTTCTTCAACCCGGTATCTCCCACAAGGCACCGTCCCAGATGGGACAGGCTCTAAGCTCCCGTCCGGTCTCCTGGCATGTGTGGTAGTGTTGGGCATGTAAGTGTATGTAAGTAAGGGGTGACGATAGGACAAAAAGAGGAAAAAAAGATCGCGAATGGTCTGTGGCTCATTTGTTCTGGTATTGCTCCGGCATTCGCATGGCGTTGATCGGAGAAACCACGGAAAACTACCAGAGCAGCCGGCAGCTAGAATTCTCCTCCAGATAGCGACCGAATTCGATCTAGCTAACAAGCTAGTGTCGATAATCCTCCTCAAACCTAGGACCTTCCGGTCAGAGGCATTGCAGTGACATCTGTTGCCCTGATCCTATACCTCTCACGATAAAAAAAGAAAAGAAAAACGGATCAATCACAAGTTGGCCAGAGTTTATGCAATAAATGGGAATCATTTCTGCGTGTTAATCCCCGACCATACCCCAATTGGTTCTGGAATCGATGAGTGTCAAAAAATGCTCACATGACTGCCCAATACAAGAAATTTGCGAACTAGTTCTTGGACTAAAAGTTATCTTCCACCTCTCTACTTGCCGTTGAAGTTTGTAACATTTGTTCCAAGACAATCTGTGTGGTTTACCACAACAACAACAACAACAACAACAACAACAACAACAACAACAACAACAACAATAATAATAATAATAATAATAATAATAATAATAATAATAATAATATGTCGTGCTCAACTTGAAATGTAACTAATGTTTAACGTGAAGATGTTGACAATAAGATCGTAGTAGAAGCAGAAAGAGGCCAGTTATTGAAGGATCCTAACTGTCCTTCGACAGACACAAGAAAAAGTAACAATTCAGACAGGCAGTGTCTGGGAAGTGGCTTCTAGATGTGTGGGAAAGGTTGACCGGAGCGTGAATGCTTGTAGTTTCCTCCACTGCCAGAGTTGTAGAGCGGCAATCTCGTTTCAAAACGTTTCAAAACTGATTCCCTATTAGTCCCGTCAAAAATTCCCCGAATGTGGACAGTTTTTTTATGCAAACCATTACATTTCTCTTAATTAATCATTCTCTACAAATTAGTAATCACATTAGTCGAGATTTTGCCAGAACCTATGATTTTAATGGTAAAAGAAATAGGTACCTATTCACTGTCGATTATAAAAAAAAAAATTTATACCAAAGTTGTCTAACGAGAGTCGCCGTATGCGCGTGTTTCCAATATCTTACTTCAACGTTTTATACTTCAATGGATTATTTATTTAATGGATAGATAATTATGCCGATAAATGAATAATGGATTATCAATAATTTATTATTTGATTAATTAATAATTATTTGGTTGATTAATTAATTAATTGATTGATTAATTATTAACTGTATCAATGGCGACACGTGGATTTAAATCGAAGATATGCAGTAACATATTTGGCCTAGTCAGTTGCGGATCCTAAGTCTAATAAAAGTGAGAAATATTGGATAAATTCCCCATAACGTTTCTAAAACTAGTGGTTTTGCAACAGTACACACTTTTTCGCATTATTTCTAAGTGCTCCGCCATGTTATAAACTTTTTCAACTTCAAAATGGGACTAAACACATTCAAGTTGCGAACCAGCATTTTAGAAATTGCATAAATTTCAGACACAAATTACACCAAATCCAGTCATTGTTTTAAAAATTGTCCATGGCCTTTTTTAAAGAGTTGATTTTTTGCAACAAACGTTGCCTGAGGAA